GTGTACATCACTCTGTAATCTTTCTCCCTTTTTTCCTTTTTTTTTTTTTTGTCAGCTGTGGGGCTTGAACTCAGGGCCTGGATGCTGTCCCAGTTAAACCACAGTGCCGCTTCTGGTTTTAGTGTGGTTATTTGGAGATAAGAGTCTCATGGGGACTTTTCTGCCTGGGCTGGCTTTGAACCTCCATCCTCAGATCTCAGCCTCCTGAGTAGTTAGGATTATAGGCATGAGCTACCAATTGCCCAGATTTTTTCCTTTTTAAATTTTATGGTATGTTAATTGTACACAATAATTGGTTCCCTTGTGACATCCATGAATATAATTTGCTTGTATAGAATTTACCTTGTATAGAGTTTAACATAGTAATTCTCTAAGTACCCTCATTCCCTAACCTTTATTGAGAGGACCTCTGATAAATAAAGACTTGTGAGCCACCTCTAACATCATTTCCTGGATTCCTGAGACAGACTGACTAAACAAGTTAGTTTTGTCTTGCACATATTGCAAAATGACCGTAGATGAAAAGATATGCTCCCAGGATGCCCTTCTTCTGGTTTGTGAGCATGCTCAGAACAGAGATATTATTTGTAGCCGCAGGGTCCAGCACAGAGCTAAGACTTGTTTTTTTGTTTTTTTTTTTAGTCAGTCATGGGGGCTGACCTCTGGGCCTGGGCGCTCCCTCAACTCTTCAGCTCAAGGCTAGTGCTTTACTATTACTTGAGCCAAAACACCACGTCTGTTTTTTTTCTGCTTATGTGGTGCTGAGGAATCGAATCCAGGGCCTCATGCATGCGAGGCAAGCACTCTACCACTAAACCAACTTCCCAGCCCAAGACTCTTGGTTTTTATTAAATGAATAACTTATGTGAATGAATAAATTAATTAGTCAATGGGCTGGGAATGTAGTTCAGTGGTAGAGCTCTTGGCTAGCATTTTCTAGGATTGCAAGAAATAAATAACTAAATATTAATTTTAATCAATGACCAATTGTCCCTTGTGTCTTTCTATCCAGCAACTCTATTCCTTAGGGCAACTAAGGAGCAAGAATTCAATCATTGCAGAAATGGAGGGAAAAAGGGTGAACAAATACAGCAGTTGTACTCAGTAGACATATTGAAATGAACTATATAACTTGTGGGCAGGGATGGGAAGGAAAAACTGGGAGAGAGTAGGAAAGGGTGACATTGTCCAAAAAGAAATGTACTCATTACCTGACTTATGAAACAGTAACCCCTCTCTACATCACCTTTATAATAATGATAAAAAATACTTAATTTAAAAAACTCAGGGGCTGGGAAGGTGGCTCAGTGGTAGAGTGGTAGAGTGCTTGCCTTGCATGCATGGTCCCTAGGTTCGATTCCTCAACACCACATAAGCAGAAAAAGCCGGAAGTGGTGCTGTGGCTCGAGTGGTAGAGCACTAGCCTTGAGCTGAAGAGCTGAGGAAGAGCATCCAGGCCCAGAGTTCAGGCCTCATGACTGACCAAAAAAAAAAAAAAAAAGAATTCATTAATATCTTAAAGTTTATTGTGAGCTACTAAAGAGCAAACTGGTAAAATGGAAGCAACTAAGCATTGTTTTTCTGGTTAAGATGATTTAAGCTCATGATTTTTATTCAAAAGGTAAAAGAAAAAGTTCCCTAGAAATTAGAAGCAATACCTAAATTAAGTAAATAGGTATCTTGTGTTTTTTTCCCCACATAATCAGTTGGGTTTCTTAAAAGACAGCAGAATACTGGTATATTCAAACACTAAGCCTATCTTATAGAGAAAAAAAAAGTAGTTCAAACACAAAGCAACCATAAATAGAATTCCTTCATTTGAATACTACTTTATAAAAAACAAAGTCAAACATTATCCTTAAAGTGTTTTTTTGTGTGTATGCCATACATAGGGCTTGAATTCAGAGCCTATGTGCTGTCCCTGAGCTTTTGTGCTCAAGGTTAGCAGTCTATCATTTGAATCACAGCTCTGCTTTTGGGTGGTTAACTGGAGATAAGAGTCTCACAAACTCCCCTGCCAAGGCTGGCTTTGAATCAAGATCCTCAGATCTCAGCTTCCTGAATAGCCAGGATTTATAGGCATGAGTATAGGCATGACCCCAGTGCCTGGGGTCTCCTATTTTATTTTAATTTTATTGTCAAGGTGACTTAAAGTAGGGTTACAATTGCATAAGGAAGGTAGTGAGTACATTTCTTGTGGAACTTGTTACCCCCCCTCCTTTTTTCCCCTCTTTCCCTCCCCCCATGGGGCTCTTCTTTTTAAAACTTCCTATTGCTCTTAGGATTAAAATCCAAAAACCAAAAGCTGGTAGAGCAATTAGCATACCCCCAAAAATTGAATGGCATGAATAGAAACCAGGTCCAGTCAAGGTATGAGTACTAGTGTACGTGTGTGGGGGTGGGGGGTGGTAAACAGCGAGGTGGAAGGTCAAAATACTTCAAGTACATGTGTGAAAATAGAACGATGAAGCATGTTGAAATTAGTTTGGGCAAAGGGAGGAAGGATGAGGAAGAGTGAGTCTGACAAAGATATCTTGTATGCATATATAGGTGTGTCAAAATGAACCCTCTTGGGCTGGGAATGTGGCTTAGTGGTAGAGTTTTTGCCTAGCATTCATGAAGCCCTGGGTTTGATTCCTCAGTACCACATAAACAGAAAAAAAGTCAGAAGTGGCACTGTGGCTCAAGTGGTAGAGGGCTAGCCTTGAGCAAAAGAAGCTTAGGGACAGTGCCCAGGCTCTGAGTTCAAGCCTCAGGAATGGCAAAAAAACAAAAAACAAAAACCCTGAAGCCTCTTGTGCAACTAATGGGTTCTAATAAAATTGTAGGGAATATCTGAAGAAAAAGAGAAGATCAAAAATTTGTGATATGAACTATATCATACTTCATTTATCACGGAAGAAATTGATTGAGTGGCTATTAAGTATTTTAGGCCTCAGAAAATACAGGTGAAGAGGAGGAGCAGCTTTAGTTCCCCTAGAGGTTAGGATTGGAGGGGTGAGAGCTGGATAGCAGGAAAAGTGACTGAGTATAAACATACAAATAAAGTCAATAAACAAGCAAACAGACCAAGTAAATTCCAGAGAACTGTATGCCTGGAAGAAGATAAAATGTGGGCTGGGAAGGTGCGTCAGTGGTAGAGTGTTTGCCTTGAGGTGAAGAACTGAGGGACAGCGCTCAGACCCAGAGTTCAGGCTCCACGACTGAAAAGATGAAATCTTTGCTAGGGAAAAAAGGCTTTTCGTTCTGTTCCCCAGGTCTGCTTTCTCACTCCAGGTTATTTATACAGTATCATTGCCTCTCTCCAGGTTGCTGCTTTATGCTCCAGGAGGATCATTCTTTCCTGGGGTGTCAGCTTTTAAAATAATGGCAGCTTTTCTTAGTTAAAGGTTCCTATTACACTTTTCCATTTGTATACTTCTCTCCTTTGTAATGTTCATTACACTGATAATTGACCTCCCTCTGTAGCCTAGTGTGAGGTCCTACTGAGGGAGCAACCGATATTAGCAAATTCTTGGAAGGGACCGAAGAAAATGTGTTTACTATTTTTTTTCCTAAAAGACACTTCATCAAGTAGGGCTAAAAAAATCTTTTGGATGACACACACACAGGTAGAAAGCACATGGGTAAACCAAGTGTGGTGGATCATACCTGTAATTCCAACACTCGAGTTTCAGAGCAGTTTTAACTAAGACCTTGTCTAAAACAAATGTAGTATTAGCCGGTGTAGGTCAAAATTACATTTTTATGTGGTGCTAGAGATTGAACCCAAGCATAAGTGAGGACAGAACCGTGAACACGGCAGAGGTTTCCTGATTTTTTTTTTTTTTTGCTCTTAAGAGGTAGGTTAAACAAATAATATATTTTGATAAATGTGTTACAGAAGATTAAGCGTGTAAAAGTATGGGAGAAGTGGTTATGTGAGATTGAGTGTCAGGTAAGGTTTCTTTGGGACGGTGATAATGATGACAGTTGCAAGAAAGATCTGAAAGGAAACTTATTCCAGCCTACATCCAACAGTTGAGGTAGGAAAAAAATTAGATCTGTTGGAAAAATAGTATGAAAGCTAGCCTACGTGCCATTTCATCAGAAAACAGAAAACTAAATGGGGGCAAACAGAAGCGCATTCAAATGTGGTTTAAATTTTTTCACTTGTAAACTGTGACAATTGCAGTTGGTTCCGGGGTAGAACATTTTCCACATTCTTTCCTTCAGGCATTACCTGCCGTGTCTCAGGACAGCTTTCAGCACTTTTAGAATTCCACAGCTATCAGATTTTCCCATCCGGTTCCAGTCCCCGCCCCTTTCTAAGTACCTCAGCTTTTTTCTCGCATTTTAATTACTGCAATTCCCAGCTGCTCCCACAGGGCTACTGTCCCATCCTGGGTCCCAACTTTATCTCCTAGCATTGAAAATCACGCATATAAAAGTTTATTCCCACTCGCCTTCCCCCTCCCCTCAGGTTATTAAACAGTTCTTAAGTTTTCATTTCCTCACCACCTTCAACGGGTTTGCCTACAGTTAGCGCTTATATTACATATTGAAGAGAATGTATGAGACGCACTGGCCTGGATTGAGAGCGTATCCCTGTCGGGTTAGGCAGATATCATTTCTCTCTGTTAAAAAAGCAAAAAAAAAAAACCAGAAAAAGTTTCCAGCAATCTGAAGGTGACGTCCTTCAGTTTTTCAAAATGGGAATGCAAAGATTCCCACAATTCTCCGAAGGCAAATTTCTCGCCACAATTCAAAATGGCGGGGGAGGGTGGGGCTAGTCACATGGTGGGCGTCACAGCAGCTTTCCTTTTCTACCTCGTCGCCCGCGCCCGCCGACGTGAGGCGCCTGTGTTCCCCTCCCCCTCCGGAAAAAAATTAAAAAAAAAAAAAACTCTTCACGGAGCCCTGTGGAGAAAGCAGTTCTGATTGGCTGGCAGGCTGTGAGGGGTGCTGTGGGGCCGCGCCGAGCGCCGCATCATCACTTCCTGTTGTGAGCAGTCGTTTCCTGTCATTGCTTAGTAACAATGGGGAAGATAATGGCTGCTTAAGCTACGCCTCAGAGCAAGCGCTGGGTTAGAGGCGGGTCTCCAGCAGCCACTCTGTCAGAGGCGGGCTTGAGAGCTGCTGCCGGGGAGGCGCCCAGGAGCCTGAGTGGCGTTGGTCGAGCTGAGAGTGAGCCTAAAACCGGGTAAGTAAAGGTCTCAGAGTCCCAAGAAATGGGGGAGGAAAGACGGGCCGCCGCGATCGGGTTCCCTCAAAATGGCCCGACTGAAGCTCTCAGTGGCGGAGGCTTAATGTCGCCGCCGGACCCCAGGCCCGTTTCTGTGGGGGGTTCGGTGGCGTCGTCGCCGCTGCCATTTTAGTTGGGTTTTTCTCTCTCTTCTCTATATCTTTCTCGCTCTCGGTCTCTCTTTCTGCCGTGGGGCTCACTGAAGAAGGGCACTGAGGTGGGTAGCACTTCCTCTCGGCGGGCGGCTCCATGGAACCCGAGCCTGGAGTATTTCGGGGAGGCGCTTTTCCAGTTTTGGCCTCAGGCATGAGAATCATAGTGTCTCAGGTTTTTCTCTCTTGCCTTAATGGGAGCTTTCCCTCCTCGCTTGGCATTTTTACATATCTGGGTTGGGTTGGGGAAAGGGAGGAAGTAGGGCCAGGCTCCTCTTAATTAAGTCACAGATTCTGGCCTTTAGATCCCCCCCCCCCCCCATACACACCCAGGATTTGCCATACCCCATTTTGAACCCTCTATAGAGAACTAGCAATTAGGAGCCCCCTCTGGGGTTGCGATGACAACGTCCCTGAAGATCTAAGGCAAATGTGGTTTTATTCCCTTGCTCCTATAACCCTGGGGTATCCTTCTCCCAGATATCACTGGAAGGATCTCCTGGCAAAGAGAGGGAAAAGCCGTTGCGTGTTGTTTTTCCCTGGATAGGGTGGGTGGGACTTGGGCCAAATTATTTTCAACTTAATTTCCGAGCAATCGGCCAGCGACCCAACCCCTCCTCCCTTAAAGAAAAAAAAAAAAAGCCTAAGGGTCTTGTGCGGGCGGTACCTGCCACGTACGCCATAGCTTAGTAACTAGTATTAACCGGTTGGGCTTCTGCTTCCTGAATACTCAGTCCCTTTTTCCCTTATGCTGATTATTTCAAAATGGAGGAGACAGCCACGTTCCTTCCCTGGACAGTTTCACCATACTTATTCCACAGGTTAGTATAGGAATCTGAGGCCTAGCAAACTGATTATTTAGGTTATCTTTTTTTTGTAGTTGTTTGTTTTGGGGCAAGAGGATTTTATGTCAGATTGTCATTCAAAATTTTCAAGGCCCCACAGTTTTAATACTTTCTGTAAATAACGATCCCATTTCCTGAATCAGAATTAACCGAAATGCTTTTGGACATTTCAAAAGTGGAAGAAACGTGGTATCATTTATGTGTCTCTTGCCTTAAGAGGAGAAAAAAAAACTCTCATTTATTTGAATCTTTTGACTCTTAGTATTGACAAAGTAACTCTTCATATTCTCATTCAGTCAGTCCTGGATCATTTTCTGAGAGCAGAGGCAATTACAGGCCAACTCTCTGGTCAAATTACTCTTTTAAGATGAGAATACTTGTTAGGAAGACCAGTCCAAGCCCTTTTTAAGAGGATTTTTCGACAACTCCTCTTACAAAAAAGTCACATTCTTTATCCTAAGATGCTCTAACGATGCTTTAGTCACTGTCTTAGGGTAATATAGTGTGCCAAAGTAAGTCCTTGAAGTCGACTGTCAGAATCTGCAAATAATTAGTAGTCTGATAAGGGAAGGCCTATTTTAAGCAAGCTTATAATAAAAAGTAGATTACCTCTCAACTTATTTTTTGTCAGTCAAGGGTCTTGAACTCGGCCTGGGTGCTGTCCCTCAGCTCTTCAGCTCAAGGCTAGTGCTCTACCACTTGAGCCACAGTAGCACTTCCAGTTTCCTGGTGATTAATTGGAGATGAGTCTCACAGACTTTCTTGCCTGGCTGGCTTTAAACCGTGTTTAAACTGTGATCCTCAGATCTCAGCCTCCTGAGTAGCTAGAATTACAGGCGTGAGCCACCAGCACCCACCTTACCTCTCAACTTCTAAGGGAAATTTATATCTAAATCCCGATTCCATCTAACCTTGGTGTCCCCCATCTAACCTTGGTGTCCCCCAATATTCTACTAACTTGAATTAGTTTGAGTTTCAAGTTAAATTGTGTGACTTCTAGAATAAGTAGGATATGTATTTTTTAAGGTGTGTTTTAAAGGAAAATACAAGATGAGAAAGACTAATGGATTCTTTTTTTTTTTTTTTTTTTTAGAACAGAGTGAAGAAACTAAAATCCAGTTTGTGTTTCAATACTATGTCATAACAGTCAGGTAATTTTTTGTTGCATCTTCTGATATATGTAGAATGTATGTTTACAAATGTTTATTCTATTTTGCAGACCCTGTGGTTGAATGGGCTCATTGATAATATGATGGTGTTGAGAATTCTTCATGATGAGAATGGGTGCTTTTCAAAGTACCCATTCAAAGGGTAATACTTGTCAGTACCTGGAACTAGATCAGTGCTTTATCTGTGAATTTTGCTGTTTATTTTTTGTTGTCAGTTGTGGGGCTTGAACTCCTGGCCTGGACACTGTCCCTGAACTCTTTGCTAAAGGTTCACACTCCATCAATTTGAGCCACAGCGCCACTTGCCATTTTCTGGTGGTTAAGTGGAGATGAGGGTCTCAGACTTTTCTGCCTAACCATGATCCTCAGATCCTAGCCTCCCTAGCTAGGATTACAGGCATGAGCCACCAGTTACTGCCCTGCGGTCAACTTTACCCTTAAAGTATTACCTGAAGTTTGTCAAACTTGTGACACATAGAACAATTTTTTTGCTGCCTTAAATCATTATTGCAATGACATAAGTATAAATAAATAAAATACATTTTAATAGTTATGTGAAAAATGAATTGAAATATCAGTAGAATTATAGCAACATCTTGCATTTTGTGTGATTTTTTTTTTCAAAAAGCCATAATTGATAGGTAATATTGTAATTATGATTAATTCCTTTACTGTCATCACCATTGTTAAGGTAACCATGTATTCTGATTGCACTAACCAGGACACTTTTTATTTTTATTTTTTATTGCCAGCCCTGTGGCTTGAACTCAGGGCTTGGACACTATCCCTGAGCTTCTTTTGCTCAAGGCTAGCACTCTACCATTTGTGCCACAGCACCACTTGCAGCTTTTCTGTGTATATAGTACTAAGGAATCGAACCCAGGGCTTTATGCATGCTAGGCAAACACTCTACCATTAAGCCACCTTCCCAGCTCCTAACTAGGACACTTTAAATCAAGAGAAACTTTATTGATTCCTGGACAGCAAGGCAAACCTAGAGTACTCAAGTCAAACTAGGAATGGATAGCTAACCTGAATTCATAGCTAACGTCTATTGAACGCTTAATGTTCCAGGCCATATTTTTCTTTTTGTCGGTCATGGGGCTTGAACTCTGGGCCTGGGCACTGTCCCTCAGCTCTTCAGCTCAAGGTAAGCGCCCTACTACTTCAGCCACAGTGCCACTTCTGGTTTTCTGGTGGTTAATTGGAGATAAGAGTCTCTCGGACTTTCCTGCCCGGGCAGGCTTTGTTTGAACTGCAGTCCTCAGATCTCAGCCTCCTGAGTAGCTAGGATTACAGGCATGAGCTACCAGCTAGCAGTTCATTTTTTGTTATTTATGTTTTTAAAGATATATCGATACATTTTAGTTTTTCTTAAGCTATGTGCCTGTGGCTAATGCTTATATTTCTAGCCACTCAGGAAGCTGAGATCCAAGCATCCATGGTTTGGAAACAGCCCAGATAAACAAGTCCTTTAGACTCTTACCTCTTGTTAATTAAAAGCTGCAAGTAGAGGAGTTTATCAAATGGTAGAGCATTAGCAGTGACTGGAGGAAAAGCAGATGCATGCATATGTGCACTCATGGACACATGCATACACACACAGGTAGCTCAATTTGGGGGTATGTATTTTTGAACTTGTGGTTTCCCCCTGAAATAAATACATACTTGGCATTTTTGTTCTAGATTTTTCATAGTCACAATCTAAGATCTTAATCTTAGTAGTCATAATGCCACAAATATATGGATAATATTTTTTTCTGGAATGAAAAAATGTTTTGTTCTGCACTTGACTGTAGAAAGAAAATAGCTACAATTTTTTGGTCAGTGGTGGGGCTTGAACTCAGGACCTGAGCACTGTCCCTGAGCTTCTTTGCTCAAGGTTAGCACTCTACCACTTTTAGCCACAGCTCCACTTATGGTTTTCAGGTGGTTAGTTGGAGATGAGTCTTCGGACTTTTCATGCCCTGGTTGGCTTTGAACCGTGATCCTTAGATCTCAGCCTCGAGTAGCTAGGATTACAAGCATGAGCCATTAGTGCCTGACATGTTTTTTATTGGCTAATGTTCCCTTTAAAAATCACTTACACTGAGCTGGGAAGGTGGCTCAGTGATAGAATGCTTGCCTTGCATGCGTGAGGTCCTGGGTTCGATTCCTTAGCACCACATAAGCAGAAAAAAAGCTGGAAGTGGCGCTTTGGCTCAAGTGGTAGAGTGCTAGCCTTGAGCTCAAGAGCTGAGGGACAGTGCTCAGGCCCAGAGTTTAGACCCCCACAACTGACCAAAAAAAATCACTTATACTGAAGTTATCGTAAATTAACCAAAATGAAACTTTTAGTACAACTAGCATAAACTATTACTCTTCTGTATAAGCCATGGATATATGGCATCCATGATTTCTCTGTAGGAAAACTGGTTCAGAAAGGACAGTTGTCGGCACGTTTGTTCTTTTAATACAAAAGAAATGCAAAATGGGTGAGAAAAGCACAGCTTCTAAATTTACATTCTAGGTATTCATATATTTTTCTTAACCTTGATTTTGTGACTTGATGCTATACTGTGACCTAGATTTTATCTTACAATCACTGATTCATAGGACTGGAAGGTATGTTGCAAATGAGTTAATGTAATGTTATAATGGAAATCTTGAGGCACAGGAGACTGAAGGATTGGCTAAATGGACATAGCCAGGTTATAGTCAACACAAGAATTCATTCTCTTTCCATAGAGTTGAAATCTCCTGTTTATCTTGTTATCAACCATTTTTTCATCTTTTGTACATTTCATAAAATTTTAATTAAGGGGGCTGGGAAGGTGACTCAGTGGTAGAGTGCTTGCCTTGCATGCCTGAGGCCCTGGGTTCGATTCCTCAGCACCACATAAGCAAAAAAGGAAAAAAAAAACTGGAAGTGGCACTGTGGCTCAAGTGGTAGAGCGCTAGCCTTGAGCTGAAGAGCTGAGGGACAGCGCCCAGGCCCAGAGTTCAGGCCCCACGACAGGACCCAAAAATAAAATTTTAATTAAGCCTTCTATATATGAAGAATTGGCAGCACTTTTGGTATTTACATATATGATGACATTTTATATTCTGATTTCAAAGTTAATACTTCTTTGTGATTTAACTTTTTTGCCAGTCCTGGACTTAAACTCAGGAGGGCCTGGGGACTGTCCCTGAGCTTTTTGTTCAAGACTAACATTCTACTACTTAAACCACAGCCCCACTTCTGGCTTTTCTGCTTATGTGATACAGAGGAATCAAACCCAGGGCTTCATGTATACCAGGCAAGCATTCTACCACTAAGCCACATTCCCAGTCCTCGAAGGAGCCAACATTTTATTGGTCTATATCATGTTATTCTTAACTTCCTTTGTGAGTTTCATTTTTTTGTTTTTGTTTTAGATATTACTGGGATTTGAACTCAGGGCCTCACACTTGGCTAGGCAGGTACTCCTATGTCAAGTTACTTTTTTGGGGAATACAAGAGTTTGCACTCATTGGGCTGGGAAGGTGGCTCAGTGGTAGAGCACTTACCTTGCATGCCTGAGGCCCTGGGTTTGATTCCTTAGCACCACATAAGCAAAAAGAAAAAAGCTGGAAGTGGCGCTGTGGCTCAAGTGGTAGAGCGCTAGCCTTGAGCTGAAGAACTGAGGGACAGTGCCCAAGCCCAGAGTTCAGGCCCCACGACTCCCCCCCCCCCCAAAAAAAAAAGTTTGCACTCTGGGACTTGTATTTGCTATGTAGGTGCTCTACCACTTGAGCATGCCCTCAGCCATCTTTGGTTGGTTGTGAGGCTTGAACTCTTGGCCTGGGTGCTGTCCCTCAGCTCTTCAGCTTAAGGCAAACATTCTACCACTTGAGCCACAGTACTACTTCCTGTTTTCTGGTGATTAATTGGAGATAAAAGTCTAATGGACTTTCCTGCCCTGGACGCTTTTTGAACCGTGATCCTCAGATCTCAGCCTCCTGAGTAGCTAGGATTACAAGCGAGAGCCACCGGCGCCCAGCCCCCTCAGCCATTTTTGCTTTTTTTGGGGGGGTGGGTAGAGTCTTAGATTTTTGTTTTGAATTTAGCCTCAGAGTATCATCTTCCTACCTACAGCCTTCCTTACCTAGGATCACACACTCAGCTTATTGATTGAGATGGGGTCTTGATAACCTGTGTTTTTGGTCAGTAGTGGGTCTTGAACTCGGCCTGGGCACTGTCCCTGAGCTCTTCAGTTCAAGACTAGCACTCTACCACTTGAGCCACAGTGCTACTTCTGGTTTTCTGTTGGTTAATTGGAGATAAGAGGCACGGACATTACTGCCCAGACTGGCTTTGAACTGTGATCTTCATATCTCAGCCTCCTGAAGAGCTAGGATTACAGGCATGAGCCACTGGTGCTCAGTGTGTGTAGTCTTCATGGTTTTTCTTTTTGCCTGAGCTGGTTTTTACAGTTCTCATCTCTTCTTCCCAAGTAGCTGTGATTACAGGTGTGAGCCATTGCCCTGAATACTGAAAAATTTTTATTAGCATAAATTAATTTTACAAAGGGATTTTATTGTGGTATTTACATGTATGCATATATCGTACTTTGTTCAAAGTCACTGTTATAGCAGTGGTCATAAACAGTATTTCGTATAATTATGATAGTGACTATTTGGAAAAATTGAAATTATCAAAATACTAAAAAATTCTCAAGGTAACAAACACCTGTAATCTCAGAACTAGTGGTGCTGAGACAGGAAGATAGAGAACTAGAGAGTAACCTGGGCTACATAGGGAGACCTTGTCATAAAAATCTAAAGTAATTATTATTCTCAGACAAAATTGGTATTGGATTCTATAATACAATTCATTGATTTTCTTTTTTTTTTCTTTTATGGGTCATGTGCTTTTAACTCTGGGCCTGGTTGCTGTCCCTCAGCTCTTCATCTTAAGGCAAGTGCTCTACTACTTGAGCCACAGCCCACTTCTGGTTTTCTGGTGGTTTATTGGAGAT